TGCATTTCTTTTTTTGTTTGAGGCAAGCATTACTAAAGGAATGGTAAAACATTTTTAGACCATTTTGTATTTCTTAAATATACTAAAAATGAACACAGTGAGAAATTATTTGTTTTAAACTTTCACCTTGATTTGGACTATTAAAAGTAGTGAAACATGGATTAAATTGTATACAGTTTCTGTTTCCACTGGTTTGAGAATCATTAGCAGATACAGATAACCCAGCCATGTTGATGTAAATGAATGATTATGTGCTTAGGATATATAATGTTGCTGCAGGGCTCCAGATAATTTTTCAACATCAGGAGTACGTACTCCTTATTTTTTCAATACAGGAGTACTGGAAAACCTTAAGAGTACATTTAGAGTACTGAATGGAAATTATTGGTGTACATTTAGAGTACTGAATGGAAATTATTGGTGTATCAGCAATCTTGTGTTTTGTTTCATATATGCACCACAACATTGCTACTCTTGTGTAAACAGGTCAATAAACTATAAAACAATTCTTTTCTTCAGATAAATACGTCTGTAAATGATTCTAAGACTGTACACACATATTTTTTATCCGTACATACGCCAATACGGCCCTTTTTATCCTGTAAGCTGACTACTATAATATATGTTGTTGTGCCCTTATCTGGAGACTACTATATATAGCTGTGTAAGCCTCACAGGACTACTATATATATATGTTGTTGTAAGCCACACAGGACTACTATATATATGTTGCTGTAAGCCTCACAGGACTACTATATATATGTTGCTGTAAGCCTCACAGGACTACTCTATATATATGTTGCTGTAAGCCTCACAGGACTACTATATATATATGTTGCTGTAAGCCTCACAGGACTACTATATATATATGTTGCTGTAAGCCTCACAGGACTACTATATATATATAAGCCTTGCTGTAAGCCTCTGTAAGGACTACTACTTTATATATATATATGTTGCTGTAAGCCTCACAGGACTACTATATATATGTTGCTGTAAGCCTCACAGGACTACTATATATATATGTTGCTGTAAGCCTCACAGGACTACTATATATATATGTTGCTGTAAGCCTCACAGGACTACTATATATATGTTGCTGTAAGCCTCACAGGACTACTATATATATGTTGCTGTAAGCCTCACAGGACTACTATATATATATGTTGCTGTAAGCCTCACAGGACTACTATATATATGTTGCTGTAAGCCTCACAGGACTACTATATATATATGTTGCTGTAAGCCTCACAGGACTACTATATATATGTTGCTGTAAGCCTCACAGGACTACTATATATATATGTTGCTGTAAGCCTCACAGGACTACTATATATATATATATGTTGCTGTAAGCCTCAGGACTACTATATATATATGTTGTAAGCCTCACAGGACTACTATATATATATATGTTGCTGTAAGCCTCACAGGACTACTATATATATGTTGCTGTAAGCCTCACAGGAGCTATATATATATATGTTGCTGTAACTCACAGGACTATATATATATGTTGCTGTAAGCCTCACAGGACTACTATATATATACTAAGCCTCACAGGACTATATATATGTTGCTGTAAGCCCTCAGGAGGACTACTATATATATATTGCTGTAAGCCTCACAGGACTACTATATATATATATATATATATATATGTTGCTGTAAGCCTCACAGGACTACTATATATATATATATGTTGCTGTAAGCCTCACAGGACTACTATATATATGTTGCTGTAAGCCTCACAGGACTACTATATATGTAGCCTCACAGGTTGCTGTAAGCCTCACAGGACTACTATATATATATGTTGCTGTAAGTAAGCCTCACAGGACTACTATATATATATGTTGCTGTAAGCCCTCACAGGACTACTATATATATATATGTTGCTGTAAGCCTCACAGGACTACTATATATATGTTGCTGTAAGCCTCACAGGACTACTGCTGTTATATGTTGTAAAGCCTCACAGGACTACTATATATATATGTTGCTGTAAGCCTCACAGGACTACTATATATATGTTGCTGTAAGCCTCACAGGACTACTATATATATGTTGCTGTAAGCCTCACAGGACTATATATATATGTTGCTGTAAGCCTCACAGGACTACTATATATATATGTTGCTGTAAGCCTCACAGGACTACTATATATATGTTGCTGTAAAGCCTCACAGGACTACTATATATATATGTTGCTGTAAGCCTCACAGGACTACTATATATATATGCTGTGCCTCACAGGACTACTATATATATATGTTGCTGTAAGCCTCACAGGACTACTATATATATATATGTTGCTGTAAGCCTCACAGGACTATATATATTGCTGTAAGCCTCACAGGACTACTATATATATGTTGCTGTAAGCCTCCTCACAGGACTACAGGACTACCAATATATATATATGTTGCTGTAAGCCTCACAGGACTGCTATATATATATATGTTGCTGTAAGCCTCACAGGCTATATATATACTACAGGACTATATATATGTTGCTGTAAGCCTCACAGGACTACTATATATATGTTGCTGTATATATATTGCTGTAAGCCTCACAGGACTATATATATATATATGTTGCTCACAGGACCTCACCTCACAGGACTATATATATATGTTGCTGTAAGCCTCACAGGACTACTATATATATGTTGCTGTAAGCCTCATATGTTGCTGTAGCCTCACAGGACTATATATATGTTGCTGTAAGCCTCACAGGACTACTATATATATGTTGCTGTAAGCCTCACAGGACTACTATATATATGTTGCTGTAAGCCTCACAGGACTACTATATATATATGTTGCTGTAAGCCTCACAGGACTACTATATATATGTTGCTGTAAGCCTCACAGGACTACTATATATATGTTGCTGTAAGCCTATACAGGACTACTATATATATATGTTGCTGTAAGCCCCTCACAGGACTACTATATATATGTTGCTGTAAGCCTCACAGGACTAGATATATATATATGTTGCTGTAAGCCTCACAGGACTACTACTATATATATATGTTGCTGTAAGCCTCACAGGACTACTATATATATATGTTGCTGTAAGCCTCACAGGACTACTATATATATGTTGCTGTAAGCCTCACAGGACTACTGTAAGCCTACAGGACTATATATATATGTTGCTGTAAGCCTCACCTCACAGGACTACTATATATATATGTTGCTGTAAGCCTCACAGGACTACTATATATATGTTGCTGTAAGCCTCACAGGACTGCTATATATATATGTTGCTGTAAGCCTCACAGGACTGCTATATATATATATATGTTGCTGTAAGCCTCACAGGACTACTATATATATGTTGCTGTAAGTCTGATGGGACAACTAAATCAGTGTTTCCGGAAGCCACACTTCAGTATCAATTTGAGTTTCTTTCCAATAGGAGTGGTTGGTTAGTCTAGTGGTTAAAGCGTTCGCTCGTCATGCCGATGACCTGGGTTCGATTCCCCACATGAGTACATTGTGTGAAGCCTATTTCTGGTGTCCCCTGCTGTGATATTGCTGGAATATTTCTAAAAGCGGCATTAAACCACACTCACTCACTCATTTCCATTAGTTGTTCCCTGATTCCTAACATTGTGACTTGCTTTCCCACAGAAGGATGAACCCCTAGGTACATATGATGTGTCTCAAGATGGGTACTTGTCAATTGTGTCAGTCCTAACGTGTGGAAGTTGATCAATCGGGTCAGAAACAACTCACTCACTCACTCACTCACTCACTCACTCAGTCTTACACCGAACTGAGCTCTTTAGTATCAAATACTTTAGATTTAAATGTGCAAAACATAAGACAACAGGTTGAGTATTATGGACAGCTCGTGTCGATGTGATTCCAAGGTTGCTGATGTGGGTTGTGTGTTTGGCCGAACACTTCCTGCTGCCAATGCTCTACCTCAGTGCATGAGCTGTACACCACAGTTTGTGTCTGTGAACACGAATTTTGCTGAAGTAATTTTTTTAACAAAGGACACAATATTTACCTTGGGTTAAACCTGTATCTTTGACACTAAAAAGTAACAAACAAGTTTGCTTATTTGAAAAAACCCTCTGTTTTCCATCAAAACGTTATTTGGCTGTTCTGTAACTTGGTTACATGGATGTAAAGAATCAGGTTTGTGATTTGCCATTGCCAGCGAGATGTTGTGTGACAATGTGCTTTGTGACTGCTGCTTGTATGTCCAGCTTATAGGATCTAACAACTGAAGACAGCGACGGAAATAGTGATGCCAAGATGCATCGATACATTTATGCATCGTTCCTTTTTCTAAGACGATACGATTGTCGATACATTCAAAACTGTATCGATATTTAGTTTTGAAAGTATCTGTTTAAATATGTTTATGTATCGTTTACATGTTGCAATTGCATGTTTTGTTATGTTATGAGAGTTATAAATGATTATTTTTCATGCACAAAGATGGAAATTAGAACTGTTTAATCTCTGAGAATAAACAATGTTGATCTTTTCGTGGACAATTCTAAAATATGAAATATTAATGTTCAAAATGTAACTAAATGTACGCAATAATGCCGTGAAAATAGGTATCGTGATACGTACCGATTCATGAAACATACGTATCGTGACATCCCTAGACAGAAAGGGAGGTAACTCTCTTTGTCTCTAATGCTCTCTGGTGAATTGGGAATATTGTTCAAAGCAGTGTTGAAACTCACTCAGTTATGATCAATCAATGCAAAAATAGATCTATAACAACATAACTTACAGACTACTCAATGAATCAACACCACAGCATTCTCAAATCAGTGACATTATTCGCCACAATGCTATGACACAAGTACCCCGACCCATTGGCCAAGGAGGAAACAGTGGCCATGGCCTAATTAATTTGGGTTTATGGAGACGTAACTTAAAAGAACTGCTGGCCAATGAAATGCCACAGACTCCCTTGTTTTTATTCTTGTGTTTTGACCCCGAATCTTGTGTTTTCAGGTTCTATGAATGTATAACAAAGTGCAGCCCCCAGTGATGGCGACGACGACCGTGGGGAAGACAGGGGGGAAGTCACCACACTGCAAGGTCTGCGGTGACGAGTCGTCCGGATTCCATTATGGGGTAGACTCATGTGAAGGATGCAAGGTCAGTGTACTTGTCATACAGATTGAGTTGGTGTACTTGTCATACAGACTGAGTCAGTGTACTTGTCATACAGACTGAGTTGGTGTACTTGTCATATAGACTGAGTTGGTGTACTTGTCATACAGACTGAGTCAGTGTACTTGTCATACAGACTGAGTTGGTGTACTTGTCATATAGACTGAGTTGGTGTACTTGTCATACAGACTGAGTTGGTGTACTTGTCATACAGACTGAGTTGGTGTACTTGTCATACAGACTGAGTTGGTGTACTTGTCATACAGACTGAGTTGGTGTACTTGTCATACAGACTGAGTTGGTGTACTTGTCATACAGACTGAGTTGGTGTACTTGTCATACAGACTGAGTCAGTGTACTTGTCATATAGACTGAGTTGGTGTACTTGTCATACAGACTGAGTCAGTGTACTTGTCATACAGACTGAGTCAGTGTACTTGTCATACAGACTGAGTTGGTGTACTTGTCATACAGACTGAGTTGGTGTACTTGTCATATAGATTGAGTTGGTGTACTTGTCATATAGATTGAGTTGGTGTACTTGTCATATAGACTGAGTTGGTGTACTTGTCATATAGACTGAGTTGGTGTACTTGTCATACAGATTGAGTCAGTGTACTTGTCATACAGATTGAGTCAGTGTACTTGTCATATAGACTGAGTTGGTGTACTTGTCATATAGACTGAGTTGGTGTACTTGTCATATAGACTGAGTTGGTGTACTTGTCATATAGACTGAGTTGGTGTACTTGTCATACAGACTGAGTTGGTGTACTTGTCATATAGACTGAGTTGGTGTACTTGTCATATAGACTGAGTTGGTGTACTTGTCATACAGACTGAGTTGGTGTACTTGTCATATAGACTGAGTTGGTGTACTTGTCATACAGATTGAGTCGGTGTACTTGTCATATAGACTGAGTCGGTGTACTTGTCATACAGACTGAGTTGGTGTACTTGTCATATAGACTGAGTTGGTGTACTTGTCATACAGACTGAGTTGGTGTACTTGTCATATAGATTGAGTTGGTGTACTTGTCATACAGACTGAGTTGGTGTACTTGTCATATAGATTGAGTTGGTGTACTTGTCATACAGACTGAGTCAGTCTACTTGTCATACAGAGTGAGTGAGTGTACTTGTCATGCAGAGTGAGTGAGTGTACTAGACACACAGAGTGAGTGAGTGTACTTGCCATACAGACAAAGTGTGTGTAGATCCTGCAGAGATAAGGTGATCTTCATGTAGTGATGGAAACATCTTACCAAGATAGGTGAGCTTCATATAGTGATGAAAACATCTTACCAAGCTAAGACCCGTGAAGGTCGGGGTTAGAATATTGATCTTCAGAAACTCATGCTTGTCGTAAGAGGTGACTGACGGGATCGGGTGGCCAGGCTTGCTGACTTGGTTGACACATGTCATCAGTTCCCAATTGCGCAGATTGATGCTCATGCTGTTGATCACTGGATTGTTTGGTACAAACTTGATTATTTACAGACCGCTGCCATAAACCTTGTCATCATCTTCACGCTAACAATCTCTTGGAAATGTATCAGTGAGCATATAAATCTAAACACAGCACAGAGACAGCTCTTGTGTACATTCACGACGATATCATCACTGCAATGGACCATCAGCAAGTTACTCTTCTTATTCTCCTGGACTTATCAGCGGCCTTCGATACCATCGATCACTGTATCCTCTTCAGGCGGCTAGAGACCAGCGTTGGACTCACAGGAACGGCACTGCAGTTGGTAAAATCGTATCTTTCTTCTCTCGGACACAGTCAGTAAAGATCGGTGACAAAACCTCAATACCATCATTGGTTGCTATAGAGTGCCACAGGGTTATGTTCTGGGACCCCTTCTCTTTAGCTTGTACATTCTACCAAGTTGAGACATCGTGAGAAGTCATTCCCTAAAATTCCATCTCTACGCTGACGATAATCAGTTGTATATTTCCATCAAACCATCAGAAGTTTCACAAGGAGTTCCTTGCCATAGGCTCACGGCAACAGCTGCAGAAGATTCCACCTGGAATCACACTCAAGATAGGAACTGAGGATGTGAAGACTTCAAACTCAGCCAGAAATCTGTGAATCATCTTCCAGTCCAACATGTCCCTAGATGAATATGTCAAGTCCCTCTGCAAGTCATGTTTCTTTCACATCTACAACATCGGCAAGATCCGCAACTTCCTAGACACTGAGACAACAAAGCTCCTAATGCAAACACTTGTAATCTCAAAGCTGGACTATTGCAACTCACTCTTTTGCAACACGGCATCTTCAAAACTTTCTAAATTGCAGAAAATTCAAAACGCAGCAGCTCGTGTGGTCTCTCGAACCCATCGCCATGACCATATATCGCCAGTTCTGAAATCCCTTCACTGTCTTCCAGTAAAGTACAGGATCTACTTCAAGATTCTGCTACTGACTCATAACTGCCTCTACTATGACCAGTCCTGTGACTACCTTCGCCAGCTTGTACATCTGCATGTACCCACCAGAGCTCTTAGATCAATAGATACGTTAAGACTAACACAGCCAAGCACTAAAACCTCCATGGGTGATAGAGCCTTTTCTGTAGCAGCACCAGCTCTATGGAACAATCTTCCAGACACCCTCAGACGAGTCCCAGTAACTTTTCAAGAACTTGCTCAAAACCTACTTCTTCAAGATGGCTTCTGAATAAGAACTCTTTTCACACTTATTGTGTTTTTAACGATGTTTGCGAACGCCGTTGAGCATCTGTGATGGAAACTAGGCAATATACAAGCCAAATATTATTATTATTATTATATAGCTGGAATATTGCTGAATTTCCCACGTAAAACTAAATTCCCTCCCTACCAAGATAAGGTGAGCTACATATATAGTGATGGAAACATCTTACTAAGATAAGGTGAGCTACATATATATATAGTGATGGAAACATCTTACTAAGATAAGATGAGCTACATAGAGTTGACCTGCCCTGACAAAACCTTGCAGTCAACGCTCAGACACCAGGTTTAGGCATCAGACCAGCTACTTTGGCCATTGGCACGAGTTCATTACATCTGAGACACTTCCTGGAGAATAAAATGTGCCACACAACAAGTTAATAAGGCAGTGGACTAGTGGCCACCTGCCTCCGAGTGCAGCAGTTCTGTCTGTCCGTAATCACGCTGACCCCAGTCGGTGTGTTCAGCCACTTCCGGCAGGAGCCAGTACACAAGACAATCTGAAGATGCCACACAATTGAGCTGTGATGTGGGTGACTCTGAGAGTCCATGTGGCATTCACCGGCTTCCTGCAGCAGGAACCACCTTCATGAGTCTGCTACACTTACTGTAACATTCCATTGTTTGGAGCAGCCCTGGCAAAGATTGGATGATGACCTATGTTTAGTCACATCTGTAGAGTGGACAGTCCTGGCCTTAGTTCAGTAGTCAAAGGATTCTTGCTCCAGGTTTTGTAAAACAATGTTTGATTTAGAATTCTTATCATGCCTCTTGTGATATTGTTTTATGAACTGGGAAAACCTTCACGCTCATGTGATTAGCGTGTGACAGTTCATGGGGTTGTTCATTTTACATGGTATTTTTAAGATCACCACTTTTAGAAGCTCCCTACTTTAACAGAGCCATACAATACATCCAGCTTTATGAGGGGACTACCTTCATCACTTCAACACAGACACACAACAGATGTAGGTATAGGACAGGACTACCTTCATCACTTCAACACAGACACACAACAGATGGAGGTATAGGACTGTTCTACCTTCATCACTTCAACACAGACACACAACAGATGGAGGTATAGGATGTAGGTATAGGACAGGACTACAACAGATTAGGTATAGGACCTACCTTCATCACTTCAACACAGACACACAACAGATGGAGGTATAGGACTGTTTTACCTTCATCACTTCACACACAGACACACAACACAGATGTAGGTATAGGGACTGAGACAAACAGCAGATGTAGGTATAGGACAGGACTACCTTCATCACTTCAACACAGACACACAGCAGATGGAGGTATAGGACTGTTTTACCTTCATCACTTCAACACAGACACACAACAGATGTAGGTATAGGACTGGACTACCTTCATCACTTCAACACAGACACACAACAGATGTAGGTATAGGACAGGACTACCTTCATCACTTCAACACAGACACACAGACAGTATGTAGGTATCAGGACAGACACACAACAGACCTTATAGGACTGTTTTATCACTTTCACTTCAACACACACAACAGATGGAGGTATAGGACTGTTTTACCTTCATCACTTCAACACAGACACACACAACAGATGTAGGTACTTCAACACAGACACACAACAGATGTAGGTATAGGACAGGACTACCTTCATCACTTCAACACAGACACACAACAGATGTAGGTATAGGACAGGACTACCTTCATCACTTCTACACAGACACACAACAGATGGAGGTATAGGACTGTTTTACCTTCATCACTTCTACACAGACACACAACAGATGTAGGTATAGGACAGGACTACCTTCATCACTTCAACACAGACACACAACAGATGGAGGTATAGGACTGTTCTACCTTCATCACTTCAACACAGACACACAACAGATGGAGGTATAGGACTGTTCTACCTTCATCACTTCAACACAGACGCACAACAGATGGAGGTATAGGACTGTTTTACCCTCATCACTTCTACACAGACACACAACAGATGGAGGTATAGGACTGTTGTACCTTCATCACTTCAACACAGACACACAACAGATGTAGGTATAGGACTGTTGTACCTTCATCACTTCAGCACAGACACACAACAGATGTAGGTATAGGACTGTTCTACCTTCATCACTTCAACACAGACACACAACAGACAGCCATAGGACTGTGATTGAGGCGAGGCTGATTTAAACTGTTTTTGTGGAAACTAAGTAATTCAGATACAATGGAAGCCTATTTATACCAACAAGGTCTTGGA